CTCGGAATTGTCCGTGGCTGCCCCAATTTGCATAACATTATGGATCAGAATCTGTAACAAAAACTCAAATGATCAGACTGTATAAAATCTTTGGATGCAGCAAATTCAAAAGTGCATAGGCTTACAGCAGCAGCAATGACAACAGTCTGGCCAACTTCAAGACCATTTATACCAGCATGAATATTGATAGAATTAGTGCAAAACACTGTCAGAAGGACCATGTATAGCTTATATATCCATCCTGCACATATAGGAAGGCCACAATGTAAATAATAGAAGGATGTCACAATCCCCCACAATGACATAGCAAGATATGCTCAACATCGAATGATTCATCTGTTGCCAAGAGCACTTTCCTTCCATTTACTTTTAAAAAACATGCTAAAGTTATTCTGCAGAAATATGATCAGCTGTAGTATACTGAACAAGGGAAAGTGATGAAACCACTCTCTGCACAAATGAAACTTATAAATTGAGGAACACAATGTTATACATAAAATCATACAGAAAAATCATATCCTAAAAAGAGACGGCCACAGGCCACCTCAAGTAAAATCTACGCATGCTGCAGACTCTGAGCATTAATTGGCAAAACAATTCCTCACTATAAAGTTATTAAACAATAAGAAACGTTTGAAATAGCAATCCATAATCAACCATATGATGAGCAATATTCCATGCAGTCAATATGAAACATATTTCATGCTATCCCTTAGGTTACACACCAAAGATTTGTCAAAAATCCTACACCGTCACACAGCAGCATTGATGTGATCAATGAAACGATATACATAACAGAAAGGATTCATACAAGCATTTTACCTAGATCCAATATCTCCAGCCCAACATATGGAATGAGAGGTTTTGGGATTACAACGGTGGTATGGCCAGCATAAGCCATTAGTAGAGGAAGAGCAGCAATAAAAGGCAAGACCAGTTTCCTGCACATGAAAAATAATTCAATCAGAATTTTCTCCCAAAACAAAATAGTTGAAGGGGATTTTAGAAATATGATACTTACACTCTCCATGGAACGTCAAGAACATCATCAACAAATCCAAGCAAAATCATGAAACAAATGGATGCCAAAGCTGCGTTATACTCAACTAGCCACTACAAAAATAATAATTTATGAGAACTATGAAAATCTGCCTCCAAAAAAATAACTCAGGAGAAGTAAGGAATCAGCAAGTACTGACTAATTTAAACTGCCTAAATATATGAAAGATCCATTTTTAATAAAAGATATATTCTTGTTCTCAAATCTCAATCTGGAGCATCAAAGCACCAAACATACAACTAAGAGAGAGAAGGAAGCTGGCAAACAGTTTTTAAGTCTTTTCCATATAGATATTAGTCCCTCTTCCTTCCCACTCTAAATGCCTTAATGTATATTCTAAGCCAAAATTCTTTCCCTAACACCAATATCAGTTTACAAAATTGCTTTCTCTCAAGATCAATACCCAAGTGTCTTAATAATAATCCTTTTGGCATAAAAAAGTGAAACTGCATAATTCATATGTTGGTTACTTACATACACTGTAGGTAAGTACAGATTCTCACATATAGTTAGTTAGTTACTCCAATGTTGGCAATCGATAACCAAACAAATCAAGAAACTTCACATGAATTTAATAAAAGTGCATAATTCCTGTAAAAAGCAACTTTCAAGAAAGTTCTACTTCATGAGTCAGCCAAACAGATACAGGTTGATGAAATCTTTCAAGATGCCAGTCATGAAAGAAGAATGGTGTTAAAAAGGGAAGCAAGCAGAAGTTGCAAAATAATTCTACTTGTCCACTTGAAACCCTTACCTACCAATGTGATCATAGGTCTATATTGTCCAAGATTTCAGTCTTTTATGGTTGAACTATATGCCCTATGGTGTATAGGTATTTTAAGTTATCTGCATCGACTGCATGGCCTTGGTGAAAACAGTTTTCAAGTCTAGCCTTGAGTTTCTTTGCACCACATAAGCAAAGATTCAGAAAGAGAAAAATTCCAAGTTCTTTCAAAGAAGTTGCGTTACCAACAGCTCAAAAATTCTTCAGATAGCACCACTAATATCCATTTTTTTTATTTGAAAAAAAGTACAAGGATGCAAGATTCTACAAAAAGCTGACTTCCAGTAACACTCACAAATCACAAAGCATAACACAGTAACACACACATTGGGAAAAAGACAGTTATTTTATTTGGATTCATAAAAGCAACGTATCATCAGTATTATTAAGTACATCCAAAATTGTTCTTCAAGCCATTACACACTTTGGAATTTTTTTCACTACAAAAAGGTTGAAGAAGGAAACAGATTTACATAAGGGGAAGTTTGCAAAATAATTTCAAGAAAATACTTCATCTCAAGAATCAGTCATAAAAAATGGCAGTCATTATTTGCTTATCTCAGTTCAGGATGGAAGTCCATGAAAGCATTTCAACATGAAAAGAGGTGTTTACTGCTTAACACAAATATTACTCTCATAAGAGTATAAGACTCACCAACATGTCACTGCAGCCAATAACCACTAATGTTTTCCATCAACATCAACAAAATTTACGGAATCGTTGATTCATTTCCACAAAACTATTACTTTGTAATCACATAGGGTTCTTCAGCAGATAAACTAACTTCCTCATCCCTAATACAGTAGTACCTATTAATCTGTACCGCTATTTCACACTCTGCAAGACTTCTAAATCTAATAACCTATTCTTGACCTTCCTCGCCCTCTACAATTTCAAACCACCATAGCCACAATAAGTCATAAATTATAAGACGTCTAGTACCAAGGAATTTTGCTTTTTAAACCATCCATATTATCTGAGAGCAAAATGACTGGATAAGAAAGATACAATGGAGAAAATATTGATTAGAAAGACTAAAAATAACACTTAAAAAATGCAGTCACAGAACAGATGAAGCAGAAAACAATTCGTGGACTTACAACGGAGTCGGAAGTGAAGTTGAAATGTTGAAACAATATCGCCACGACCAAAAAGACAATCCCGACAACTATACCCAATGACTCAGGTCTGCAAATAAGCATGCCACATGATTACATAGGGTAAAGGAAGAGAAGAATAAGCATACATTATTCAGAAGTAATTCATAATGGGTGTAAATTAGCTCCTCATTATTAGCCATTAAGTCATCAACTCGTCATAACAACTGAATTTCTTCATCACTTTTCAAATCCAATTTGCACCAGTTCAACCAACATCAACATTTACACTCCTAAATTGATACTTAGTTCAAAAGGCAAATTAACACAAGTGATCTATTCCACAATTCACAATAACCCTAAATTCCATCAAAGTTTAACATCACAGCTTACATAGCAACAATCTCACAAACCACAAAAATTAAGAAACAAAAAACACGAGAAAATTCACAAAAATTCATCAAATTTCCAACACTAGCATTATAAATCAAACAACCCAACAACATTGCAACATTATTACTTCAAAACCCAACAATAAAATCAAGCAATCAACCAATTTCAATCCACAAAAAAAAAAACCCATCAAAATTCCAACAAATTTAACATAATTCAAGAGAAAAAAAAAAATACTAACACTTTAATTTTCCCTTGAGGAGTTCCCTTCTTGTTAATATCAAACCCAAACAAATTCCGACGAATCACATAACGAGACGCAACAGGAATCAATCTGAGAGTGAAGAGAAATCCGGCGAAACTGAGGGCAGCATTGATGAGAATGGATCGCTTGATTTGAGCATCAATTTTGAAGTGAATCAAGAGAAGATAAGCGTAAGGGAGCAACAAAAGGGAGGAGAGAGAAAGAACTTTGAGCCATTTTGAAGATGAAACTGCGATTTTGAGTTCTTCCGGCGAAGTTGACGGTGGTTGTTTCGGCGGCGGAGACTCATGTAGGGTTTGTCTCGCCGGAGTTTTAGGGCCGTTCGCCGACGGAGCTCGTCGCCGGGAAGTCATGATTTTCTCTCACAAATTATGACTCTGACTAACTTAGCGTTTACTCTACTCTTTTCTTTCTTTTTTTGTTTTCCTCCTTTCTCTATTTCACACTTTTCAGTTGGGCCACTTTTCTTTGAAATTTTAATACGAGTATTATACGGTGTGTATATTACGGTGTATATATATACTCCGTACTAGGTACACGAGTATTTTTTTAAGGAAAGGAGAAGAACCTTGATAGGCTTGAAATGATCTCAACCTTCATGGTTTGTTTGGTACAGACGTACAGTATTTGCGAGTTAGACATTTTAATAGTATGGGAAAAGGATAAGAGATCTTCACTTTCAAAGTGTTGTAGAGGGGATTGAATCCTCAACCTTAAAATTGAAAGGAACAGTTGTTTCCACTAGATCAGGCTTAACTTGATATAATTCAGTGTATACGAAGGGAGAGTATTTTGAGTACGAGTTTAGGGAATTATACGATCAAATATGCTACTCCGTACTTAGTACTTGGTGGACTATATTTGGAAGAAAATTTATAGTTTTGTCTTCCTCCTTGTGTAAAGCCGCTTATTTAGTTTTGGTTGAGGAGAAATTAACGAGTGAGAAAAATGGTGGGACTAAATATAAATATACTCTATATACTTCGTATTAAAAGACACGTGTGAAAACACTTGATTAAAAAAATTACTACCTTCGTTACAGGTTATGTGCAACGATTTGACATAAAGCAGAGAGGGAAAATGTCTAATTGTTGCACATAACCTGTAACGGAGGTAGTAAATGGAAAGTTTGTCAACTACAGGTAATAGGCACGAGTCGCTCGACTTATCATTTATCAATACACCATCAAAGGAATTATATTTCTAGTCCACAAACTATTGGGCAAAAAGGTTCGATCAAAAGGATCCTAAGGAGCTAAGCCGCCTCCTTTCTTCAATGGTTGAAAGGGTTCCTTTTTAATACGCAACCGTGAAGGAACTGAGGGATCACTTTGGAAATGGGACCATGGTTAATCTTTATATATCAACTTTTATGCGAGCATTAGACCAAGAACATCAGCTGGCTATGCATAAACAATAAACAGAAGACAATAACATGTGTAAATACTTGATTTACATTAAAGTTATAACGTCTCAAGTGAATAAGACTCAACTAGGACACACTGCAAGGACAAGCTTACAAGGATGAAAAAGGCTCTGATTGCAAAATTGAACCAACCCCGTGTAAACTTTGTGATGCCCCTTTTCCAAATAAAGCCGACTTCCTCGCATCCCAATAATAGTGAATGCTCAACGCAGTGCATCAAAGCTGAAGAGCAATTGCTTGGTCCTCCGGTTCATAAAGTTAGAACAGGAGCAGGCAAGATTTGCAGCACTGATGTCAAATTTGCACCATCAAGAAGTGTTTTTCTTCATGAGCCACACATGGATCCCACTTGATGAGTTATATATGGGTGTAGGCTAGCACTTGATTACTAGGCCAATGGGACAGTGGTCACTACCATTGACATCTGGGAGAATATAGGAGTCATGAACCCTGTCAGCTATTGATCCTGAGACTAGAAAGTAGTCAAGCCGCCATCCTGCATAGTGCAAAAAAAAAAAAAAAAATTGGATCAAGGAATCTGACAATTTCTCTCCACATCAAAGCCAGTTAGCAGCAGAAGAAAATAAAAAGGGAAGAAGTCCTGCTTAAAGGAAGAGAATGATTGTACTACAGCACTATTCAAGGAAGCTGGCTATAGCAAAAGGGAACACCATCGAGATCTGACTGAAGTGAATGCTTTGCACAGAAGGCCAAAAGGCTCAATAACCATGGAGTAAGTGGAATAATATGCAGATATAAAAGCAGTGAGTCTACGTGATTCAAGCAAATCGGCTATGTGAAGACCATCTTTAATCTAACTTGCAAGACGCGTGTGTCAACATAGATCAATACCTCTGTTAGTTTTACGTCCACCATGCCTGTAGCCCCAATAAGTATATCCCACAACATTGGGATGCTGATTTCTGAAAGTGTCCACAAATCCCTGGGACAGGAAGTTCTTCTCAAATGATTCCCTTTCTTCAATTGTAAATCCAGCACTCCTCTTGTTTCCCTGAGGATTTGGGTACCAATTAAGTGAATCAAACACTGCAATATACCTTCCAAACAATGGTGTTTAAGCGTAGACTATCATCATTACCACATTAAAAAGGGCAGGAATCCACCTCATTTCTATCAGATACAGCTTTGCAAAATAGTTTCTTTCAGATACTCAGCTTAGGTGAAATCAGGAACATCACACAATGATGTGCATGCTGGTTGAACAATTATCTTTTGCCTATTCTTATTCCTTAAATTCTCAGAAGTACTGAGAAGTTAAATTAAAATTCACATAAGGCCATAATGGTATTGAAACGCTGCTTTAAAATCTATCATATTGTGAGTGGACAAGTAAAAAGTTTCTAATTACCAGCAACCACAAGGTTGTATGAAAATCTAAGGAATTCTGAATCCATTTACAAGTAAATTTTGCCAAATCAAGGAAAGCAAATATCACAAAATTTGTTAATAATTTCATACAGAGATAAAGATCATCAAGATTGTCACTACTTACAGCAGGGTTATAAATGTCAATCTCTTGATGTGCACAGTTCAGATCACCAGTCAGAATTACAGGTTTTGACTTTTCTAATTCCTGCATCATAATGCAACAAAGATAGAGCACTGTCAAGGATCTATTTGATAATTATGTATACTTAGAGTTACTTTTACCATATATGCAGAACCAAAAGGCAAGCACTGACAACAATTACTATGGAGAGGGAAAAAAGCAGAACAAGTCCCCCTTGCTAACTGAAACCAGCATGCACATCTTAACCACACCAAACAATTTCCAACCAGCTGATATACTCTTGTAAATAATATTTTTTTCTGTGGGTTCTACATTAGCTGCTTTGCATAATGAAATACTCTTAGAATCTCCCGTAAGGTAAATGGTGATATTAGATGTGAAATCAATCAACAAAATGCTAAATTGAATGAATAGACAGAAGCAGCATCAGAGCATTCACAGTTACTGAGTATAATATCAAGACTAAAACACCATAAACACCTACATTCTGTTTCAATCAGACATGGTGCAACATAATATCTTTGTAAATTTAAAATCAGGCATATTGAATCTCAAAAGCAGCAATATGCACATTTGTCAAAGTCATTGAAATTTCATCAAATTAAAAAAAAATATTGGGATTAATATAGAATAAAAGCAAAAAGATGGCAATACTAAACTATAAACACAGTGCATGTACCATACAACAAAAAGAACAAGCATACTTACAAACTCAAACCATCAAGTTTATACAAAAGTTACTGTCACAAAGAAAACTCACAAGTCAGATTACGTGATGAAACACTGCTACAATCAGAAAACATGATGCAAAATTTCAGGGAATACAATCAGAAAACAGTAAACAAAATTTCAGGGAATACAATCAGAAAACAGAAAACAGAAAACAAAAACTTTTTACTCACTAGTCTTTAAGATTATCATTATATGGCTTTAAAGTTGTGGCCAAACTAATAACAATAACACAAAGATCACCACCAAAAAACAGCAAGTCAGCAACACAAAATTGTATAGTTTTGGGGAGAAAATACCAAGACATGAAACTGATTTTATAAGTACAAGGTATAAAATAGTTGCAGCCAAAGCACAGAAAGGTCATAAACAATGGTGCAGATTTACAGCCAATAGATGCCAAAAATAAAAAAAAATTAGGCACAGCGTTATTCAAAATGCTACAAAATTCATCCTTACTTTCACATACTGGCTGAGCGACGGGTCCCATTCTGTAATCCTGTACGACTAATATCAAAAGCATTCATCAACAATGAGAATTGGAATTTCTTAAAATTATACAAACAACTAAGTACAAAACAAAGATTATAGTACAAAGATATGAGATGAAATCAATTACCAATCTCTTGAGACCATCCCCAGAATTGGGAACATATACACACAATAGATAATATGAATCAAACTCTACTGTTACTACACGGCCCTCAGTATCATGATCTGCTATTCCAAGGCCATATTTCACTGACAAAGGTTTAACCTGTAAAACAAATATTAAAATCATGAAGAACAATAACTTGTTCAACACAGATTATTCACAGCCACATTCTTTCTTCTTTGTCTTTACCCATTCATTATTATGAAGAAACACCAAACTTTTAATGTCTAAACCTTCTTTAATGTACTAGAGTTTGAAGTGTGAAAGGAGGTCTCACATATGATCAAGAGGCAAAATGAAGTTCACAACCTTAAAAGCAATTGGGATTATGAATTCTAGATTATGAAAGAGATTTATGATATACAGACATATAACAAATTTTACACAAGTTTGTAATAGGTTATTTATAACAGAAGCCGCAAAAAAATAAGCTCTACTTAGGAGAGGTATTATATATCACTTTTAACAAGGGCCATACCCGTGAAACAATTGCTGTACCAGAGTATCCAGCTTTAGCTATACTACACGTCCAGAAACTGTTTTCATAGCCTTCCAAAAGATCTCTGACTGTTTCAACATCTTTCTCCTGGACAAGGTGCCAGATAATTAAGATACTTATACATCGAAATCAAAACATGTCAAAGCTAATAGCTCTTTAAATTATGTCACAGCAGCCAAAAGATTATGATGGCTCAGATTGTCTATCACAGCGATGGAAAAAGCTTACCAAATAAAAAATTTCAAATTTTAGAAAAAAAAATACTCTACAGTAAGCTCGTAATGGTTTCCTCAAAAGAATTTTCCCTAATGATCTTAAAGGGTTTACCAATCATACATAAAGAGGTTTTAGGTATTTGGCTGTTAAGTGGTTTTTTCACTGTGGCTTTATAATGTGGCAGAACAGCCAAAAAAAAAAAAAAAAAAAAAAAAAAAAAAAAAAAAAAAAAAACACCAACCGGATTTCGAGTGGCCAAAAAGCTAGCATTTGTGACAAAAATGAAAAACTAGCTGGACTAGCTTTTGGTCTTTCTTTATTAATTACCTTGTTTAATGATTTAATTGTAACTCTAAAAGCCAATCAAGCTTCCCTATAACAACCATATGATATCTGTAGGTAACCAAAAGTCGAACTTCAACAGGAACTAGTAATTTAAAGACTTGCCACAATAATTTGTCTTAGTGAAATCAGAGTCACAAAGAGCATGACAAGAATTAAAAGAATAAAACTTGCCTGTAATTTGGTCTCCTGCAAGCACAAAACATCAAAATCCTCTCTTTGGGCAAGCTCAAGTGCAGAGAATCCCTCCAACTTGAGTAATGCCCTCAAACCATTTACATTCCAAGACAACAGCTTCACAACATTAGAATCACGTGTAAGAGGAGGTGGCCTCATGGTTTTTGGATTATAAGCAACCCAACCTTTCTGAGGCTTTTTGTGGGCAAACCTTGTCCATGGTTCCTTCTCATAAGAAGATTCATTAACCTCTTGAGAAACTTCCACATGAACGCTAGCAGAACCTGCAGCCACTTTTCTTTTTGTAGTACGCTTTTTTCCTGCAGCAAAATGCCAATTTACCAGCTCATGAGTGTACAGGTGCAAGTTTGCATATTCTAAGGGGCAAGGGTGAACAAGAGCAGAAACAACATCAATTTAAAGGGAAACAATACTTCTGACAGACACAATAATTAAGAAGATGACATACCAGAGACATCACTAGTCTCTACGGATGTACTTTGCTTCACGGTCTTGATGTCGATATCAACATCCAAAGTCTCATCAGCAACATCTTTTTCATTTGTTTTACTCCGTTTACGTTGTGGTGAGCTAATTTGATTTGATACATTCTCCTCTAAAGATTCATTCTCACTTAGCAAAGAAATTTTACCTGTGTCCAAGTAATACATCTATGACCTTAAAACCACATAGAGATGCCATACTAAAGCAACAAAAAGAACCAAATTCATCATCAATCAAAATGCACTAATATAACAAGGGGATAAAAATCAAACAGCTTAAAGTTCATACCATCAATGCCCTCTTCCAAAATAGTTTTCAAAGCCGAAACAAGCTCTTGTTTGCGACCTTTGCTGGATGCTCCAACATTCCTAGCCGGACACACAACACACCACCCATTAACATACAATTTACAATTTTTTTTTTTGAATAGTACAATTTACAAATTTAATAAAATGCATAAATAACACTTCCTCCGTCTAGATTTAATTGTCACATTACAAGTTCAAATAACACTATCAAAGCAACCATTAATTTCGGGGCGGAGGGAGTACAACCAACCTAAAACATAAAGCTACCAAATTTTTGTTCAAGGGTTTCACAAAAAACATAAAGCTACCAAGTATTGTATTAAAAAAGAAATCGCCTTTTAACCCAAAAAAAAAAAAATTTAAAAAATCACCTTAATGCAGTTCTAAGCTCTTGAACTGTCATATTCTCCAGCTTTCCTGGGTCATTTTTTATGCTCAAAATTTCAGCTAATTTGCTTCCAACAACAGCATTTTCCTGAACAAGTGCAATACAAAACATTAATCAATCCACCAACAAAAAATTAAAATCCCAAACAAAAAAATGGAAAACCCCAACTTTTAAATTATAGAAAAAACCAACATTTGAAACATTTTTCTGAGAATTTGGACTAGCATCAACTGACAATTTTGCCGATTTCTCGTTTTTACCAGAACCCATTGCTCGTACTTGAATCGCAAACAACCCTTGTTGAATTTTGAGATTTTTCTGGAACCCTACACAACTGCAAGTTTTGAATTTTTAGAAATTGGGCATAGAATTTATTGCTGAGGTTTTAATTTGATAATTTAATTGAGAAATAAAAGGTGAAATTAGAAAAGGGGATGACCTAAAATTGATGAAATTTCGAAACCCTAGTAGCATAATGTTGGACACATTGAAGAGAATATGAGAATGGCGCGCAATTAACACTTAACTGCCGTTATTCGTCAGTGTGACTGTGGACTGTGTGGAGAGACGGAAGCTGTTACAATTTTTTTTTTTTTTTTTTTTATTATTATTTAAAGTTGGGGTTTCAGTAGGAACACTTTGGGTGGGGATCCTTTACACTCCTCTTTCACTTTTAAATTGTCTAACACGCAAATACTAGACTAAGAAAAAAAATGTGAGGGTTGAGGTCCAAGCTAATATACAAAGTTGATACATCTATCAGGGGATAAATTGGTCATATTTTCAATGAAATCGAGGTTAGGGGTTAATTTGTAATCACAAATTCAAAATAGTTTTTTCCTCAAATTTCCGTTCTCACATCACGACCAAGATAACTTAAAATTTCATTTTCTTCCTCTACATGTGCCACCATTGTTGGAGATGCTGCTACAAAGGAGATGTTTTCCTTAAGGAGTTAATATATGGTCATATTTTATACTCTTTGCTACTGGGGTATCTTTTTGTTCCACAACAAAGCAGCGTTGGGGTCATTGTTGTTGAGAAAGGATGGAATAAAAAGAAGATGACAGGAAAAAGAGGAAGAGGGGAAGAGGAAGGCCTTTGTACGTAGTTGATCCGCGGAACGGTGGAGAGATGGTGGTGGTTGTGATGGTGATGTAATGATGGATTTGGTTAATTTTATTGTAAAAAAAAAAAAAAAAAAAAAAAAAAAAAAAAAAAAAAGTTGCATAAAATATTTCTCAAAGGCAAAAGCTAACGAACACTTGGGGTGTTGAATAAGCTAAACCACCATATAGATCGCTTATGTTCAGCCAAGTCTTATCACAGGGGTCATACTCTTCCAGGTACACCCGTCATACTCTATCAATTATTTCATTGGTATTAATTTTGAGAAGAAATTCCGGCATCAGAAACCCACGAGAAACCAATAAATCAGTAGAAATATTAAATTAAAATTTACATTAATTACACTGTTTGACGCGTGATTTCGACATGCATTTTTCAAATTAATGCTACTTTAAGAAATATTTTAAATGTTTATCTAACGCCCGAGGGTGTTCGTTTGCACGTAGGATCCTTTCTCAAAATATATTATTCAAGGTGTTATACGGAGTAATAATTTATACATCAATGCAAATAATTAGGGTTTTTTCTCTTACGTTGAAATTCAGTTCAGTTCAGCTCAGTTCAGTTCAGCTCAGTCCAGTTCACTTCAGTTCAGCTCAGTTCAATTCAGCTCTAATTTCCTTCTCTTATAAAATATTCAGTTCAATTCAGCTGAATTCAGTCAATGAGAACAGGCCCTTAGTATTGATAACTTTATTACCCATTTCGAATTGATACAGTAATACTCTGTATTTAAGATTAATATTTACACTAAAATACTCAAATCAAAAGAGTAATAAATAAACAAGAACATTTTAGGTATTCTAATAATCTACCTTAGCTTGGTAATAATAAATTATATAAAGGAGTATGTAAGTGATCAAAACCTGGAATCAAATATTGTTTACAACATCAATTCATCGCTTAACTCTCTAATCACCATTAAAGATTCCTGAAATGAATTATTATATATATCTATCTAATTTGCAATTCTAGAACTCAAATCTCTAATATTGTTATTTTACACCGGTGCCTAAAATGAGAGAAGGTTAGACTATGTATCATATGTATGTGTATTGTTATATCCATAGTAGATTGATCTTCGTGACCTAACTTATTATTCCAAGAATAATATAAATACTTTGTATAATTTCCTTATAATCATGTTCTATATTTGATGATGATTAGAGATTAAGGTGAAGTAGTGCTTGCTGAAGACATTAATGACGCAAAAATTCCTGATTCCTTTAACTTCTGCATAATCACCTGTGAGAATTATGGTAAGAAATAAGTATTAATATGGATTTTGTTGGCGCACAAATTAAATATTGAAACGGTCATATATTTCATAAAGAATGTTTATGGTATATGAAGTCACCTTGGGAGTATAAATACGAGTAAAAATTCCATATTTCAAAAATTTTAGGTTCACATTTTCGTTATTCCACACGACATGGTCTTGGTACCTACATAAGAAATAAAATTAGACCTAAAAAATCACATATACAAACTTATAATTATTTGCCAATCAAAGTACTAATACATAACACTAAGGAATACTTTAGCGATATCAATATGCATGCGTGATTAACAATATCAATATGCATGTGTGAAAATGTGAGGTATTTGTATTTTTGTTTAATTTGTTCTCTTGGTACGTGACAAAGAATTTAGGGTTTGTTCTCTTCGGATTATTTTTAGTTCAGTTCAGTTCCAATAAGTTCAGTTCAGTTCTTATTTTCCTTCTCTCATAAAATTTTCAGTTCAGCTCCAATAAGTTCAGTAAAGTCAATCAGAACAGACCCTTAATAAAGCTCGATCTTTTGAGTACTTTAATTAAAAAAACTTTTTACTTAGTTTGTAATACTTAAATTTTAGTTAGCGAGCATATATTGATATATATATGTAAAAAAATAATAATAAATAAATAAAAAAAATAAAAAAGGGAAAGAAAATGTTGTGTGTACGTATTTTCTCACCATTGAAGCATTCCTTCTTGTGTTTCCGTAGAAGCAACAATAAATGCCTGTAGTTTTATAAAAATTTCTTCACAGTTAGAGGCCAAAATGAAGAAGAGAGGACAATGAGAAGTAAAAGAACAAGATACATACATTTCTATCAAAATCCAACCAAAAACATCTTTTGACATCGTCTTTTGTAGGCTGGCATTTACATCTATCACGCCTTGAAGTTAAGTCGGAAAATCTTGCGTATGTATAGTGCAAAATTGCAGCTTCCTTTAAGTCTATCTCTCTGTCATTGATCATCAGGAAACTCTATTACTCCTCATAAATTACACAAGGTGTGTAAGTGAGGTGCCATATAAACTAAACAAGGTGTGTAGGTGTTAAAACTAGCTCAACTGGCCTAATCTGAAACCAATTCGAACAAATTAAAACTTGATTCAGATCCATTTTGACTTTTATACATGTATGGACAAAATAATTTAACATGACTTATATGTGAAATAGACAAGGCTAGACCTTACCGAACCTACCCAATATACATACTTCCTCCGTTCTTTTATTATTGCACCACTTGCCTTTTTATGAAGTTTTACAAATATTGCACCATTTCCTCTTTAGGAAAAAAAATAATTTGTGTTCACACTACAAATACCCAATATACCCTTGTTTTTTCACACTTACTTTTTAATTTATCAATATGCCACATGGGCAATTTTGTATTTTTACCATTCTCTCTCTTACTTTTTTCCACTACCATAATATTTGTACCCAACCCCTATGGTGCAATAATAAAAAAACGGAGGAAGTATATACTTTCCAGGTCTTGGGCCCGGGTGATAACCCACCTTAGCTTGTATGGCTGCACGCACACTCCACATTAGTATGATGTTGTCCGCTTTGGGTCTAATCCACACGGATTTGTTTTTGGAAACACTTTTTCAAACAAACTCATACTAATGAAGCCTGTACTCACTTATAAGGTCGAAACTAGCTATTCACTTCCTTATTTAATTAGTCAGGTATTATTTAGCATAAACATACAAGATGACATAAATTGGTTATACTTTGTATATACTTGTATATGAATAGGAGGATGAAGCATACTTTGGTTGTTTGACATAGTTATACCATCGATGTGCACCATTTGGGCGAAGGTGATCTTGTATTCTTGCTGCTGATTTTCCATTTCCATAAGTAAGAAAATAGTTTGGGTTTCCTCGAGCTGCCAACTTGTACAATTTGAAATTTGTATCATTTGGAAGATGAGCGAAATTTTTTTTGAACAATGAAACCTATATTATTCGGGATGACTTTAGAATTTAGATGTAGGAATCAAGCTATAGTATATAGATAAGTTGAAGTGAACCTTACCTCAATGAAAGGCTCTTTAATGTCATCCCTCTCAACCGCACTTTCCTGAAACCAAAATAAAATAAGTCAGTTGTAAAAAAGTTTAAAATATTTAGAAAGCATTTTAGCCTCAGTTCATTTTTCAATTTTTAAAAGACTTTTTTTCAGAAACTACCTAATACAATCTAAAATATGTGAGAAACTACCGTATAAAAAAATGTTGTAAGAAACTACCTTATAAAAGGTAAATGTTGTAAGGTACTGCCTTTGGCCGAATTCTCACCGTTAATCTAATTTTAAGGCATTGACCTACCTCAAAACACCCCCCGAAACCACCACAGAGATTGCTTTTCAAGGTGATAAGGTTATTTTGGGGTGGTTAGAAGATATTTCGAGTTTGTGAGATAGTTTGATTTCGTGATTCGAGATGTTGATTTTTGGGGTTAGAGGTGGTGGTTTTGGGATTGGAGGGTGGTTTCGGCTTGATGAAGACAATTTCAAGTAGGCTGTGTTGGTTTTGGGGTGAAAGCGGTGGTTTTGAGGATGTTTTGAGGTGGGTCAATGGTGGATTTCCGAAAGAGGTGGTATTTTACAACAATTAACATTTTGTTATGTAGTTTCTTACAACATTTTTCCTTTTATTAGGTAAATTTTTACAACATTTTTTTATTAGGTAGTTTCTCACAAAATCCAGGGCTCTGATACCATGAAAGAGAGTATTATAGGCCATGGCTTATGTATTCCCTTATGTCAAATATAATTACTTGCATAATAGTATAGAAATATGTATATGTAGACTAACTATTAAAAGTATATATTATAGGACAATTTAGATATTCCAATTCAATTAGTTCATGCAATTATACTTTTTTTGGTCGAATAATATGATGTCCTTACATTATTATGCTCACTATCCATTGGTAGCTAGTAGCCCCAATCAAACTAATAAGACAAAAATTAAAAAAAAAAATATAAATAAAAGAAGAAGAAAGAAGGACAACATATTTAATCAAGATATTCGCAATGATGATCTTATTTTGAAGGATACTTACATAATTAGAAAGTACGATTGCATCAACATCACTTGGAACCTTAGCTAATAACTCTGCTACCGAGTAGTTTTGAGTCCCTGCAGGATGCACGAGCTCATCAGTGTCAATATGGAATATCCACTCCATCCCAGAATCCTGCATGAACAGGAACGATCAACATTACAAAACATAATAAAGGCATCAATTTATCAGCTCAAGGAAATGTGATGCATAATTGGATTGATTTTAATTTGTTAGGTCATACAGTGTCATACATATATACAAAGTACAATATAGTAAGAGTTAAGTTTTATAGTACATACCCTCGCCATGACTATAGCCATTTCCATGTTTAGGGTTTGCTTCACAAACAATTCGCCGTTGCATGGCTTGTGAAAGGCATTTGAAAGCCAAGTCTCGTTCCAAATTCGACTGGCAAACCAAAATTAGGAGGAAAGCATGTGAAGATTTTTTCTAGGATTTTCTATGCACTCTTAGGTTGTTCCTTATATATATATATACCTCAAAGTTGCAAGTAAATGTTAACGGAGGTAGTATATATATATATATATATATATATATATATATATATATATATATATATATATATATATATATATTTGAGACCAATTCATAAAATAATCAATCATGATCGAATAACACATTATTGGAAAATTCAATAGCATTATTTCAATCAACTACACAATTTATAAACTTTAGAAGAGAACATTGTCAACATATTAGGTCTAGGCACAAACCTTTTAGCTTGTTGTTTTTCTAATTCAATTGTTCTTGGTATAACTTTTACACCCTGAAACAAGATGACATATTCACTTCTTATCAAACATAATAAGACCATAATACGTACGTAGTATATATTTTCGACAATAATCTTGCAAATCAAACGCAAATTAAAATAGTTCTTATTATCAGAAAACTATTTTTAAAAAAAAAAATAAAATTACTTACTGGAATAGACTCAAGTACTTTGGTTGCATTATGGGTTGCAGCCTTCCCTTCAACAAAGAGGAAAAAGTTGGAAATGCCAACAACCTTATGAAACAAGATCCATGACAATATATCCTCTAGTCTAGCTGACGTTGTTGAAGTTATACATATCTAACACAATTTCAAATAACTTTATTAATTATTATATGTAAATGAGAATTATATTTATTCATAAATACTACTTCCGGATCATATTATAATATTATATGCAATTTTGGGATATTATTTGTGATATATAAAAAATTCCAAAGTTATATATAATACGATCCGAAAGTAGTAGAATGTATGTAATTTAAGAAAAAAAAAAGTCAAAATCATAAAGTCAGGCACAAAAAGTCAAACTTAGGAGTGATTTGTAAATTTTACCACAAAACACTCATCCAAAACATTGGTTAAAAACTTAAAATTAAACATCTTTTTACCGTGTAAAAAGTCAAATGTCACCTTATACAATTTAAAAACCAAAATCACATAAAATTCAAAGAAAAAGGCTCAAAGAAGCTAACCTTTGGTGTAAGAACAGAGTCATTGTTCATAAACTTGAAACTACTTAAACCAGAGGAAGCATTTGATGAAGAATTCAACTTCGCCGGAGCCGGGGTAGTACAAGTGATCGGACGGTCTAACGACAACCGTGTCAACGGATCGATGCCACCGCCTCGCCATTGAAGAAAGAAGGTTAATATTAACACAAATGAAGGGAGAAGAATGAGAAGTAAAAGGTGTTTATTGATGAATTTTTTTATGGTATGATATGAAGAAATAGGAGCTTGGCTAATAAGATTCACCATTGTATGTAATATTCAAAGGTTTTAGAACAAATAAACAAAATAATGAGAGAAAGAATATTTATTTATATATGAAGAATATGTATTAATTAAATTGTTACAAGTTGATTTATATAGTTTTACTAGTTTAATTTTATTTATTAAGATAAATATAAACTAAAATTAAAGAAGTGGTAAACCATTGACTAGAGAATGTGAAGGTGGAGGGAGGCAAGGTAATGTGAAGTTGTATTTTTTAATGTGTAATTATTATGTAAGGCCATGTTAGTGTATGACTAAAGAATTAAGATTATTAGCTGTTGATTTATTCAATATTCTTTTCTTTTTTTTTTTCTTCATCATTTAAGCTTGTAATCTGTTTTATTATTTGCTAGTTGCCTCTATTATTTTCAAATTTCAACATATATAAGGTGAAGGTTGGTTACTTATCACTGATGGTTTTTAGTTTTTTGTCTAAAAATTATACAATAATGAAAGTTGTAAAATGAGGTTTTATTACGCATAAAAGGTCATGTTCTCATCACCTCAATTTCATTAGACAAGTGATTGTGACTAATTTTTACTAGTGTATACTGTATATGGTATGATAATTTATCAAGTCATTTTTTCATATTGAGTTATTATTATTTAATACAATATCTTTCTCGAGATAATCAATTGATATAGTGAAGATTTGAATTTGATTTTGATCTTTATAGAGTTATATATGAAAAAAGAGAATAATGTTGAAAAGTTTGATTTTTTTTTTTTTTTTTTTTTGGAAACTTTTTTTTGAATAGTTTAAATATATTCATGAATTGATCATATAGTATTATTACAAGAGTATGAGCCTAATACAAACTCTATGATTTACTAAACAATATAAAAGAATCAAATAAATTAATGATAACATAATGTAATATCAAAGATATTTACGTAACACAATATCTCCAATTATACCAAAAATAACAAAATAATATGGATCTTATTCAACCAATATTGGTGGCCATGTGTCCAATGATAGGGACTATTAACGGAGACCCATTTTCATTATAGTTGAGTTCAATTTAGTCTACTATAAGCTAATTTCGTTAAATAACAATTCCTCTTACATGTGAGTTGTGACTAATTATACCACATCGAGATAAAAGAAACCAAGAAAGGATGACAACATATTTTTAGGCATAATTGAGAACTAATAATGTACCACACTACTACGCCTAAGCACTTTGAATGTAATTAATGATTTAATCACCAATTTTCAGAGAAAGTGGAAACATTGAGTAAACTCCAGTTCCAAATATTACTGGAGCTGGAGGATCTGCGCCCAAAAATGTGGGTTTACTTGGACCGAAAGTTAACATATTAATGATTAACTCCTTTAATTATACTTCATCTTATTTATTTCTATTTTAGTAAATCCATTTTCATTGTACATGTTTGCCAATGTGTGCACTTTAATGTTAATATTTTTAATGAATTACAAAATTATGAAAAGTCAATAGTTTGAAACTGTATAGTGAGATGAATATAACAAAATACAACATGACTATACTTTTTGATGTAATAATTTTCAAATAATTGAGAGAGATTGTTATAAACACTTGATTGCTCATTTAATCATCAAATGGAAAAAAAAAAAAAAAAACTTTGGATTGTGCACCTTGTACCCCGGTACATGTATATAATAATTTTCAATCGGTAATAGACTGATAGTAAAAGTGAAATTTGTAAATTGTGCCAAAATCAAGAAGTTTATTTCAATAATAAAAAGAAACAAAGGGGCAATTAAGTACATGGTTACCTCCTTAAGTTTCTCCAAAGAATAAAATTCTCTAAATTACTATAACTATATTCTCTAATATTTGCATAGTTGTATGCTTTATACATAATTACATATCAACGATAGATTTAACGTGACTATAAATATTTTTGATGAAGAAAATATTTTCATTCGCGGTGATGATTTAAAATTCAAGGTGAAGTGTCTTATGCCGATGAGATTATAGAAGCAAAAACACCGGATTCCTTTAACTTCTGAATAATTACCTGTGAAAACATTTTTTTTTATGAATGAGACATCGAGATCTATTGTAGCAAAATACTTCGTATAATTTAAGTGTATAGAGAGAGATCACAAAGTAATTTTTGTCGGTATGGAGACTTACCATGGGAGTATAAATACGAGTAAAAATACCATATTTCAATAATTTACGGTTCATTTTATCATTATCCCACACCACATGGTCACGATACCTACATACATAAGAATGAAGTGTAAGATCGAATTAGACCAAAACAATAGATCTACTTATAGGTGTAGTTTGATCAATATTTAACTACTAATTCTATGATTTAATTCATTTATTTTTGATAGAGTATAAAACATATTCTTAAGCCTCAACCATCAGCTTAAGCGTTTGGTTGAGATAGTCTTTTTAACATGGCTCTGATACCATGTTAACGGGTCATCTCAACCAAAAGTTTAAATTGATGGTTGAGGTCCAGGAAAATAATTTATACTCTATCAATTTTTAAAGATTTTAATGGTCAAAGTTTGCTTACTAAGCTAGAACTTGAAACAGAAAAACCAACTCTATTTAGATGGAATGGTTGGACTACGATACAATATCAAGATTATACATTTGTACATACGTGAATAATTTGGGCGTGTTCTCTTACCATTGAAGCATTCTTTCATGTGTTTCAGTAGAAGAAATAATAAATGCCTGAAATTCAGCAAGTCAATTTTCATTAGAAGCAATAATAAACATGAAAATCCAAGAATTATTATAAGGAGATGATGATGAATAAGTTGTAACATACAGATCTATCGAATTCCAACCAAAAGCATCGCTTCACATCCTCTTCTGTAGGTTGGCAATTGCATCTATCGCGCCTTGAAGTTAAGTCGGAGAATCTTGCATATGTGTAGTGCAAAATTGCAGCTTCATCCAATGTGATCTCTCTATCAATGGTTATCAAGATACAACATTGGTTACTAAATATTTGATGTTTATGTTACATACGCGTGCATATATAATCATGCTAGGACTTGTTAGTTATTGTATTGATAGCTAGCAAATTTAACTAAAAATATTATGATGCTTTTTATCAAAACGGATGAATAATGGATTTTTTTTTCCATCTATTAAAATATGGAATATTAAAATATTTCATTTAATTAGTTATTTTACTGATATGGCATGATTGTTATGGAGAGAGGGAGTAATTAAATTTTAAACAAATGAGGCATGCATGGTGGAGTGATGAGCCAAAAGATTTAAGGCGTGTTCTGATTTACTAATATAAATTGAGCTAAACTGAACTGAACGGATTATTTTATGAGAGAAGGAAATTAAGAACTAAACTGAACTTATTGGAGCTGAACTGAACTGAAAATAAGGTGAAGAGAACAAGCCCTAGTGCAAATCTTGTAATTTGATACGTTACATTTATCTATACTTACTATGAAATCATTTATCTTAATTATAAGAAGAGGCTAATTAATACTCCATCCGTCCCCGAAAGAACGACCCATTTGGGTTGATTTAGCGGGTATTAAGAAACTTAATTTGCAGTATAAATGTATGAGAAAATACAAATCAACAATAATTTGCAATTAATACCTAGAGAGATGGCACAAAGATCTGAAAAAATATATATACAAGGGTAAAATAGGGAGAAGGAGCTATATGACAAAAATATCTGAGGATATATTGATAATTTTGTGATTTTAAGATGTTGGGAAAAACAAATGGATCATTCTTTTTGGGACTAAAATTAGGCTAAATGGGTCGTGTTTGGGGGTATTTTATGTCCTTCGGGAGAGTTACAATTTCCTAGCAGACTTCCTTCTTACGCCTGTACCTGCACAAGTAACGGAGACTCCGGATGGGGGTGGGAGTTCCGCCTCCGAAGATTAAGTTAGTATCTTTTCGAAGTGGAATAAGAACGATAAAAGCTTCTCGGTTCGAGAGCGTTTCAGTAGGTTTGGGCTTTGTTTGTTTTTTGTGTGGTTGCAATTAATGTGTGTTCTCCATAAATGAGGTCTACCCTTACTATTTATAGTAAGGGAGAACTGTACCTCAATTAGGGTACAAGGGACACGTGTCGCAAAGGGATTGGGCCTTTGCAGACCGTTGAAAGATTGACACGTGTCAAGCCTTTATTGGGCCACGTGTCTTAGGGTATTTTCACCCTAAACATCTGCCCCTCACAGGTGAGATGTGGCAAACTCACGTGTCATCTGTGACAGACGTAGGGTGCATGGGGTAAGTGACGGTTCGTCTGCTTCCCCCCCTTTTTTTTTTTTTTTTTGAATTTCAAATTTTCGTGCAGAAGGTGACTGTTCGCCTTCTGCCTCTTTCTATAAGTAGGGTGGCTACCTCTTTCCTCCGCATTTTTTATTTTCTTCAAATTTTTTCAAAAATTTCCTGAGAAGAAGCTCTGATACCGGCTGCTTCTTTCAAGACTTTCGAGCATCCGGTTTTCGCAAGAACTTGACATCTGCCTTCCGGCTGAGTGCGGATTTAGTAAGGTACCGTCTGCTTTCTCCCTCTTTTTGCCCCTAGATTAAGGACCTCACTCGGCATTTTGCCGCCTGGGTATATTTTGTCCAAAATTTCTGAATTACCCCTACCTCATCCGGGATTTCCCGTGTGAGGTTTTTGAAATATTTCCCTTGTAAAATGCCCTCATCCGTCATTTTGCCGCATGGGGCTGGCTTGGGACAAGTCCAAAAATCCCCCTCATCCGGCGTTTTGCCGTCTGGGATGTTTAATATACTCCCATCCGGCATTGTGCCGCATGGGACCCCTTTGAGCCAACTTTGTTTTTATTCAGACTAGTCATAAGTAACCCCATCCGGCCTTTAGCTGTATAGGGGTGGTTTGATCAACCTTTGCTTTCAAACATCATTCAAATGGCCCCCATCCGGCATTTAACCGTATGGGGGTAGTTTGAGCAGCCTTGGCTTTTTCTCAAATATCATTCAAATTGCCCCCATCCGGCATTTAACCGTATGGGGGTAGTTTGAGCAGCCTTGGCTTTTTCTCAAACATCATTCAAATTGCCCCCATCCGGCATTTAACCGTATGGGGGTAGTTTGAGCAGCCCTGGCTTTTTCTCAAACATCATTCAAATAGCCCCCATCCGGCATTTAACCGTATGGGGGTCGTTTGAGCAGCCTTGGCTCAAACTTTTTCAAATTTCCCCCATCCGGCTTTTAA